GACAACAGGGGGGAACTCAGACCACCACCCTCCGTGAGAGGAGCCAGCTCAGGAGCCAGCAGGAGAGGCCACACACAGCACGTAGCCGGTGTGTGTGTGTGTGTGTGTGTGTGTGTGTTGTGTGCGTGTGTGTGTGTGTGAGACAGCTGGGAGGGGCGCGTTCCCTTGGGGTGATGAAAAAGTTCTAGCCAACTGTGGTGAGCGTTGCACAACCCTGAGGATGCGAACACCCACGGAGTCCTGCGCTCTCCACGGGAATGACGAGGCACTTGAGTTCTCCCCTAAGGAGGCGGTTACACAGCGCAACAGGCGGCACTACCCAGCCAGCCGCACAGGCTCCTCGCCCTTCCCACCCTGGGGCATGGGTCACCAGCGAATCCTGTCTGGGCCCAGGCAGCGGCCGCACCCTCCTCCTGCTCCACACCTCGCCTCTCGCCCTGAACCCAGGAGTTCACTGGGGAGGCCACACGGAGCTGCTGGCTGACACTCACCCCGAAAGCGCTGCACACTCCTCCCACCATCAGCACCTGTGCCAGGTGCCTGACCATGAGGGCTGTGAGCCAGAAGGTGACTTCCTGCCCTGGCCTGTTGCAGCTGTAGTGACTGGAAAGGCGGATTCAAAGGAAACGTTGTCACCTGACTGGCGTGGCTCAGTGGTTAAGCGTCGACCTATCAACTAGGAGGTCACGGGTTCAATTCTCTGACAGTACATGCCCGGGTTGCAGGCTCCGTCTCCAGTGTGGGGCTTGCAGGAGGCACCCGATCGATCGATGTTTTTCTCTCATCATTGATGTTTCTATCTCTCTCTGCCTCTCCCTTCCTCTCTGAAATCAATAAAAATGTTTTAACCACCCCCCCCCCCCCCCCGACACACACACAAAGGGAACAATGTCTTGTGCAAGCAGAAGTCCCCAACTGCTGGGTACCCTGGGCAGGACACGGGCAGGCGAGGCCCTGGGGTGGGCAGGCAGGCGGCTGGCCTGCTCTGGTGCCTGCCTGTGGTTTCTCCTCGTGCTGGGGTCCTGCGGGCAGGCCTGGGGCTGAGCGCGGCCAGCTGAGGGTCTCTGGGGCCGTGGGTGCTGTCCAGCCTGGCAAGGAGCTCCCGGCTCTGGTCCAGCCCCTGGTGGAGGGGACATCCTTGCTGGTGGTGGCAGGAGCTCCAAGAGCCTGAGTAGGGTTGGGTGTGTGTCCACATGTGTGTCCATGTGTGCACGCTGTATGCGCACACATGCATGTGTATTCATACGTGTGTTGTTTGCATGTGCTGCGTTTGCGTGTGTTGGGGGCTGCATGCTGGTCCCACCGGAGGGACCGACTCCTCTAGCCACACCTGCTTCTCCCTGTTTCCCAGGCAAAGTTCCGTGTGGCCCGGGTGTCGCGGGCGGCTCCAGGCCACGGTCAGGTCAGGAGGGGCAGCCTCCTCAGGGGTGACCTGGCCTGGGCTTCCAGCAGGGGTGTGACCAGCGCTGTCATTTGTCTGCACGGCCTCGCTGCTGTGGGAGAACTGGGGGGAGGGGGCACAGAACCTTGGTCTGAGGCAGAGTGCCGGGCAGGTGCCATCCACGTGGCAACGGGGGACAGCATGGCACACTGTGCCCACCTGCCTTAGGCAGTGCCCTCGGCTGCCACAGCCCAGCTGGGTGGGCAGGACCGGGCCTGGCCCGCGCCGTTTATGGCCGTATCCGCTCCTTAGTAACAACCCAAACAAGAAGCAAGGTGTTGGCCAGGGGTGGTGTTGCCTCTGCCCCGCTCACAGAGGTCAGCTGGGGGTCAGCCCCAGAGGCAGGAAGTGAGCTGCTGGGGAGGAAGGGAGGAAGTGCACCGGGCTGGGGTGGGTGCACCCCATCCTCCTAGGCCCATGGCCCATGGCGCATGGCAGGGAGGCAGCCAGAAACCCTGGGGCACACGTTCCCCTCCCCCCACATGTTATGTGGAGGTGGTGGGTCGCCCAGGGCAAGGTCCGGCCACCTGGGTGGGGTGCGGAGCTGGGGAGGACACTGTGTCCCGGGACTGGGAGGCTGGGAGGGGGCTGCTGCGTGTGTTGGGGGGGAGGCGCCGCTCCGAGGGGGCCTAAG